AAGGTCAGCACCTGCCCAGGAATGAAAAGACGGTGCATATGTAGGGTTCTCTGGAAAACCACAGAGATGATGGTACCGTCCTGCGTCTTTTGGGTTTTTAGTGGGATGGACTGTGCTGGCCTGGCCGTCCTGGGGCAGGCGTGACGCCCTGTCATCTTATTTTGTGATACCCCAACACCGACTCGGCAAATAGCACAGGTACTACCCAAAGTCTATCACATAAACACTACGTAAGGGGAGACGCCTTCTTAGAGCCCAACTCCAGGGGAGATGCCCCGACTCCTTTACTTACAGAAATTCAAGTGAACCGTCCAAAACGTATGACACAAATGGACAGTGGGAGACACCCCCTCCACCCCCCGCCAGGGACTTCCTGAGCTCTGCTTCCAGCCTCAGGGCAGCAGGCTATGAACAGTGGTTCTCAAAACAGAAGCGATAAACTTTTTTTTCTTCAAAAAAAGGAATGAGGCAGGGGAGTGAGGGTACAAGCTACAAGAGCAAGTTGAGCTTACAAGAGAAAAAAGTGTTGCACTTTTCAAAAGGGAGGAGCAATCATACAATGAAATACTATTCGGCCAAGAAGAGGCATGAGGTCCCTACACCTGCTGTAACAGGCACGGACGCCGAGAACGGACGCTCCGTGGAAGGAGCCAGACGCAGGAGGCCACAGACACGATTCCGCTTAAATGAAGAGGCAAAGCCACACAGACAGCAAGCAGCCTGGTGACCCCCTGGGGCTTTGGGGGGAGGGGAGGAGGGGGGGAGGGGGCTGACTGGTAATGAGCACAAGGTTCTTTAGGGCTGATACAAATGTTCTGGAATTAGATACTGGGGGCCAACACACAACTCTGTGAATATACTAAAAACCACCGAATTGCACATTTTATAAGGTACATAAATTATATCTCAATATAGCAGTCAGTTTAAAAAAAAAAAAGTGAAGACTTCAAACAAATGCCTGCCCCTAAACTGATACTTTTCTTGTCTTCCTGTAGGTATTAGCTTAGACCACTTGCAATATATAGGGTATTCCCCCAAAATGTAGCTGTTAAATGAAAATGAAATGTATTTTAATTAACACGACGTACACATTTGGGGAGGACACCCTGTCTGCTGGGCTTCATCTGCAGGCCAGTGTTCAAGGTTTTAAAAACACACCACTAAACACAGAAGCCATTCAGCAGTTAAACAGCACAGCTCAAGAGCTGAGAGGGCTCCCGACGCCACTGTCTCTCTGCTGCTGAACATAACTGGACTTGAAAAGGCAGCTAAGGAGGAGAAGAGGAGAACTCGGTAGTGATGCAGGATCGCGTGACTTACTAAATTCGCTTTCTCTCTTGAGAGTCTTTTTTGTTCTTCTGATTTCAGCTTTTCATTTAAAGCCTCATTTTCACTCTTCAGATCAGTGATTTGTTTCTAAAACACACATAATGAAATGTGGACATGAGCCGGCACGCCAACACCAGAAACACAGCAGAATGTGCACAGAAACATACCCAAACCCACATACCCCAAAGCTCAAGAACAACTACTACTATTATTATTTTTTGTATTGAGATGTACCCACCTCTAGGGATTCCTGCTTCTCAGAAAGCAAATCCTCAAGCGATTTCTTTTCTAATTCATGGCTTTTCTTGATTTCTGGAAAGAAGTGGTATATTTTAATGTCCTATGAGGTCACTGTGTTCTGTAGCTGTTAAGCACATATTCTTAAGAGTTGGTGACATAGCAATATGGCTGCTGCCTCATATTTGTGTGATGCTTTCATATAAGTTAACCTGTTCTCGGATCAGCCCTGTAAGGCGAGCAAGGCACATAGTCCCCGTTTATTACTGCGATCACTGAGGCCCACAGGGGCCAGGAGCGTGTAGGGGACACAGAGCAGACTCTGAGGATGGGCCTCAAACCCTGGCCTGCAGCCCCCCAGCCCTGGAGCTCCTGTGTTCTCCATTTGCATGTCATGAACCAAACAGAAATCTAAACTTAAACCCATTTCTAGGAGGAAGGGAAGGAAAACAATGTTTACTAAATGTCTTCCCCGGGCCGGTCACTTTTACATGTTATCATCTGGGACTTCACACAACTACTCTGTTTTCTAAATTTTTAAAATGTTTTTATTGACTTCAGAGAGAGAGAGAGAGGAAAGGGAGAGAGAGAGAGACATCCATCTGAGAGAGAAACATAGATTGGCAGCCACCCACATGCAAATTAACAAGGGAGAAACGGCTGCCCCTTGCACACCCCCTACTGGGAGTCGAGACTGCAACCCGAGCGTGTGCCCTGACTGGGAATGGAACTGTGACCTCCAGGTTCAGGGGTCAGTGCTCAGCCAGTGAGCCACACCGGCCGGCTGTACTTCCTGATGAAAAAGGCCTTCGCTGAAGGTCACACAGCCAGTCCTTACCACCCATCCGCACGCTGCTCTGTAGGATTCAATGAGTTCAGTGTAACAATTTGGGCTACACGGCCAACTATGTTCTGAAGGAAACAGCTTCTTATTCTTTTCCTTCCACTTGAGCCCTCCCAATCGTGGCGACATAATAAAGATTCTTCATTCAACAAGAGCCATCTCCCTTTTGACAGGGGTGTCGGTGTGTAGGTGTGCTGGTGAGCAAGAGTGCTCAGCATGGACCCCATACCGTGGCCAGGATATGAACTCACACCCGCATGTCCCAGAACCTAAGGTGGTCAGATACGACTTTCCTAAAAGGCCTTTACGTTCTTTAGAAGCTTTCCTGCTTCCCAAAATGCTGTCATTTATAACAAACTATTATTTGCTCCCTTAGGGGAAAGGACATGGCTAACAATGAACAATGCAAAAACAAGCCAAAACACCCCAAACTGCATTCTCTGGAGGAGGAAGTGATGAGTCATGTCCGCTTTACAACGTATCACGCCGTTCCATTAGATCTTATTCTATTTAAACTGAAAACAAGCATTCTTGCCTGAAAGGGAGGTTTCATAGGCCTTCTTCAGTAATTCCACTTCGTCTGAGTGGCTAGCTTCAATTTCCAGCTTCGAGGTTTCATGGGCAGCACTTAAGTTGTCAAACTGTAAGAAAAAAACACAACAAAACAACAATTTACCAGTAGAATCAGAAGTCCTAAGTTGAACAGTAAGTAGTAACCGTAGGAATTTTGACACATAAACTTGACCTCAAGTTGAAGGCCTACCTAGCGCATGTCAAGACCAACCCCATTTGAATTTGCCACCCCCAGGCCTTCACTCCATCCCACTCAGGATCACACAGCTCGCCAGGGTGCACTGACGGACATGGCGAATCCATCACAAGGAATGAGGGGGGGTGTCCGGGTGACAGGACACAGTGGCTCCACCCCTGCCATGGTGGCCTCTATATCCTTAGTCCCTAGCACATGGCGCATAGTAGGTACTCTAAATATTTGCTAAATGTTAAACAGATTTAACAAGGGAACAAGGAAATTAAAGAGCAGCTTTTAATATATGAATAGGGGAAAATTATGGGTTATTAAACAAGGGCCATTTTTTAAAAAATAAAGAAATTCAACCCAAAATTTAGTAGCACAACAACAGAATGGTCACAAAGGGATTATTCCTAGGTAATAAGATAAAGGGTTGTTTTTAATTTTATCTTTTTCCTTCCCTTTTGCTCAACACATGTACATTGCTTTCATCATAAGAAAAATATTAATTTAAAAACCCTTTTTGCCGTGGCTGGTTTGGCTCAGTGGATAGAGCGTCAGTCTGTGGACTGAAGGGTCCCAGGTTCAATTCCTGTCAAGGGCACATGCCTGGGTCATGGGCTCGATCCCCATTAGGGGGCGTGCAGGAGGCAGCCAATCAATGATTCTCTCTCGTCATTGATGTTTCTCTCTCTCCCTCTCCCTTCCTCTCTAAAATCAATAAAAATATATTTAAAAAAAAAACCCTTTTCACATTTTTAAATAAATAAAAAGGATGTTCAACAAAGAGAAGTTCATAAAGGAAGTAGATCATCAAACCAATAAAATTCAAGTAAAGAGCCAAGGACACCCTGGTCCCTAATGCACAGACCTGCTCCTGCAGCTGAGTTTTGTACTTCTCTGCTTCTTCGATGTAAATGTTCTGGAGCTTCTCACACTCCTCGGTGTAGAACTCTTTGAGCCGATTCTCTAGCTCGGTGAGATCCGTCTGGTGCTGCTGGTTCAGCTTCTGGACAAATCCTTCATAAGCTGCTTGCAACTCATTCCTGGCTTTTTCTAATTTCTCACAGGTGGTCGAAGCAGTGACTGGAGATGAAAAAAGAGAAAGATGACATTTGACTTGTTCAATGTCCTAAATTCATACCATTCACACACAGCTGGGATATCTCAGTTCTTCGGTGACCAGATTTCAAACTTAATAAATAGTACAGAATTAAAGAGTGAAAAAGAGCCAGGTCCCCAGTGAAGATCACCCTTTTCCATGGTGACCAATCAGAGCAGGGCCCATAAGGAGAGGAGGCTCTGATTGGCCAGGTGTCTCTGAGGGCAGCCAAGTAGGGAGCAGCAGACACAGAAGGGGCAGGGAAGACCAGAGAGAAGAACAAATGGATTTAGCTTGTACTTCATTTGAACTGATTCTAACTTATTTAAAAAATACAGCAATAAATAACAAAATATTACGCTATATTGAAAACAAATCACCAGAGCATACAAGCTTTAGGAAAAAACACATTTTAAAAGCTATATAAGGTAATATGACAATAATAATAATAATAATATACTGAAAGGTTAATAGTTTTAAAAAGGCAAAGTAATTTGATAAACATAACTTAAAATCAGAACATCCCACTCTTCACCAGAATTACCAACAGAATGACCAACAGTACATTGCAGAACTCACGCACAAATACATACTCCCACTCACTATATAAGCCTGGAAGATCTCATTTCTCAGAAAGTTTGACTCTGGATTTTTCCAGTCTTCCTTCACTGATGGTAAATACAGATAAGTGGGATAACAGAAAATGGGGACTGGTGAATGTGTTAAATTAATCCTTACCTCTCTTTTTGTAAGAAACATATATATATAT